TAAACAAAAATCTCCCAAACATAGTGTGCTTCCGACTTCTTTATACTGCGGAAGCTCTCGCCATATGCATCGAAAAGCCTGAGCTATGTGTTGAAAAGAAACTAGTTCAGCCTTTACAACTACCATGGACCTAGTTCGGTATGTTCCCTTATCCTTCAGTTATTTTTGTTTTGTTATCTGTGTGTGTAATTTTCTCTCTTTACCTTCATCCAATTCATCCTATTTTTTCAGTTATAAAATCAGTTATTTTAAGTTTGTTCCCATGCTCCTCCTGATCACACTTTTAATCCGTTTGGAATAACCATTTTACAATTATATTCTAATCCTGTGTAATTTTTTGTTTCTATGCTTCTTGTAATCTATATTCACACCTCCTAACTTACATTTCAAGTTGAAAATTTTGATTTCAATTTGTTTCCATGCTCATTTTGTTCACACCTGTAATTCGTTCTAAGCTTCTTGTAATTCATATCAAGTTGAAAATAATTATCACCTTTTATTCGCCTTTAAAGTTATTTCTCCAGTTATCAAATATTAATTTCGCATAAGTTGTAACTGTTTTCTAATCCTATTCAATCTTGTCTCTAAGCCCCTTGTAATCTAATCTATATTCGTAACTTCAAACTTTCATATCAATTTGAAAATTATTATCACCTTCGTTACTATGTGGAATTAAACAAATAAGAATTGTATCCATGTAAACTTATCTATATAAATGCGATTGTACAGCTCTTGAGAATGAAATCGCCGAAAAGATATCTTTGCTGAACTTCTTGTTCTTCTCAGTCTAATGTTCCAATGGGTATTTTCCACGATTTGAAAAAGTACGTTATCATTGAGTTCACTTTACCTCACATTTTTTCATGTGTTGAAATATAAAAGTTATGGAATTATGCATTTATTTGAGGTATTTGCCTTTGAAGATGAAAAAAACACACACGTTGAATCGTAAAACCAATGAGAAATGCTGTACTATGACTGTATGTTGACTCATAATTTAGCGCATAAATCAGTGTAATCATATCTGTCATTCTTGCATCGGTTAATTTTCACACGAGAATTCTGTCATTCTTTAAATTTACCATTGACTTACAAAAGAAAAGAATCTCTTTAACAAAAAAAATGGTTTCCTGTATATTGTGTTCAAGTGTTTCAGTACTCAATTCAGCTTCATACCAAAAATTCTTATTTCATTGTTTTATTATTACTAATTAACTATGAAAGATTCGTGATTTGTTCACTTCGAAATTTCTTTCACCCTTTTTTACACTCACACACACACTACAATTAACTAAATTCTCAAAAATTGAAGTATAGATATACACTCAGGAGGGTTGTTTTTTTTTCATGATATGAATTTTGATAATTTAAGTAGCATAGAAAAATTTACTCTAAGAGATTGTTGTTGGAATGGCATAGTGTGCGTGCCGAAAAAAATTTTACAGTTGATGAATTTAAATTTATGAAAATACTAAGACACTATTTGTCTGTTGTGCTGATTTGGACATACAAAAAAAACAACTAGATACAAGTCTGTCATGCATATCGTTTAGAAGGAGAAGGTAAAAACAACAGTAGGTGATCCTTTCTACAAAAGCAAAACAGTGAAAGTGTTCACTGTGTGCTTAGGAAAAAAAAGAAGTGAAAATTGTAAGCAATAGTTGGTAAAATAATTGTCTACACAGGAGAAGTGAAATGTACTGACAAAATGACAATTAATCAATACTCTGTATGTTTTGTATTTACATGAACAATAAATAAGATTCTTCCTTTGTCAGTATAGAAAAAAGGATTGTAAATAATCTGACCACAGTTATATTCGTTTCATTGATATAAGTATAAAACTTGGGCACTGTGGTAGAGTATAACTCCATTATGGATAAGATTTTATTTTGATAAGTCACACAGTGTTATACAGTATTATTAACTGATGACGTTTCGACCTCATAATCATATTCGTTTCACATGCATTTCAGTGACTTAACGTTGTAGACTGGTTGATATGGGTGATATACAACTACTCATCTCGGTCAGTCAGTAGTATATAGTGTTGCGGAAAAATTTGCTTGCTTTCTTGATTGCCATTTATTGTATCAGGCATATTAAAGATGCAATGTGAATAATTTGGTTCCCAAAGAAAGCTATAGTGAAATTTTGCCCCTCAAACTGTGTACATGGCGAATTGCTGACTAGTTTTCAAACTTTTGAATTTGAAAATTCTGTGTTCTCAGCCTACTTTATCCACTAAGAATGAAACAGTGAGATTTTCTACCGCCGGTGATTTAGTCGTAGAATGCTCTCCGGTCACGCAGGAGGTTCAAGTTAGATTCTCTTACACCTCGTCTAACTTACTAGCTGTTAGTAGCCCGGAATGTTACTCTTTATTAGATAAGTTAATTTGATATAACACAATGATACACTGTCAATAACTGGATGACGTTTTGAGCACAATTGATTGCTCCAAATATTATCAGTGTATTCACGCGGCTTCATAACTTGCTATATATATTTTCACTCTCCTCTTGTTATTTATTGCGATTTCCTGTATATGTGGTATAGGCGTTCAGTTATTTCTATTGCACACGTTTGTTGTTGACTCGATGAACACAAATTCGATGATGAGTATTTTTCTGCAGCTAACCATATTACTTTTTAATACGTTCACTCTATGTCACCCCACTATCTGATTACATTTAAGTGAATGCATTGCAGTAGCCGAGGTTTTTCTCGGTTATCTGAATCCATAGAGTTAAAAGAAATCGAATCAGTACCTAACACATGCAATCATAATGTCTCAACACACATATGAGATATACGGGAAATCGCAGTAAATAACAAGGGGAAAGTAAAAATATATTAAGCAAATTATGAAGACACATGAGTTACACTGATAAAATTCTGAGCAATCAGTTGTACACGTAACGCCATCTAGTTATTCATACTGTACCATTATGTGTTTTTTCAAATCAACTTATCTAATATGGAATAACTGTGAGTCGGTGGCTTAGCGGTAGAATGCTCGCCAACCAAGAATGTGATGCACGATCCCTCGATCCTCGGTTGACGCACTCCCAAACATCGCTAAACCAGCCATAAGACTGGTAAAGAGGGAAGGTTAGGCATAAGGCTAGCAATCCCACCTCATAAAAGTAAATACCACTGCTACCAAAACTTCAAGGCTGTAGCATGAAGCCCTATGTTCCACTGGGAACGTAAAGAAATAAAATAATAAATATGGAATAATACTCTACCATAGTGCCCAAATCAAAGTCTCAGTCAGCTCAAAAGTTTGTTATCTTACTTAAAAGCCTTCCATTATTATGAGCATAAGTAGAAAATGTTGATGACAAATGGTTCAGAGAAAGAAAAAAATTTCAGTAAAGAAAATGTATTCATTTAAAATTCTCAGACCAACTATATTTTATATAATAATTTTTTAAAAAGATGTTTATTTCTGTTTATGAAGATGTAAATTCTTTCATGTTACTAGGTGCATCGTCAACTCTCTTGACGACGTGATCAGCGCGAAATTACACTGGAAAGTCTTTGGCTTGGATCTGAATAAACTTTTAGTTTTAGTATCAAAGTAATAGATGTATTCCGCTCTTCTGCTTACATGTGTTCTGGAAGAATATTCATATTCAGTATGTGTAGCTACTGTACTGTAAAGACATTCTTTGAATTTACTTGAATCCCACCCCTAAAATGTATGTAGACTTAGTATAGGAAGTATATCATTCGACTGTGAAGGTTCAGATACATTCGTAGTTATCAGTTGGCAAGGGATATTTACTAAGTCTGTCAGTACACTAACTGAAATAAAAAACGATACACAGCTTATACTGCAGTGACGAAGTATTTCTCTGCAACTCTTTTTGGTGTATGATCTTCGTCACTTTTGTACGATTTCAGAATGACCTTTAACTTCGATTAGATAAACGGTTACACTGTTTAACGTCTAATAGCTACATTTCTAGACGAATAGGCCTGTCTGAACTCGGCAAATTATTAAGTTCAGCTGAGGTCTGGGAAGATCATCACCAATTACTTTGTTATTCAGGCAAATCAATACGAACTTTTATGATATTTGGGGGTTGAAACGAGATCCAGTACGAAAATCAGGTCTTAGATTTGTAAATTTCTCCAATACAACTTCTGAGACTCTACTTGCTTACAAATTAACCCTTAAAAAACTGAAATTTAAGAAATGAATATACATTTCTGACAGCCTGTTTGAGTGAACATCAGATACAACAAATTTTTTAAAATAGTAAACAAAATCAGGAGAAAAGTTCTAATAATTTTCAGAACTAAAAGCAGTTGATTTTATTTGTAAACTAGTCTCTGGTTGGAGGCATATTCTAGCTTCTTGTTTTATCTTAGAGTTTCCAATTAGTGCTCACTTTCACCTCATTAAGCATTATAAAAAGAGGAACTTTCTGTTTTTATAAAATCCTCTTCAACACAAAATTAAAATGGTGAAGGAATCATGATTCCGACAAACTGATATATGCTTCTATCAGACAAAGTAACAGCACTTAATTAGCTTACCGGTGTAAAGCCTATTATTACCGCATGTTAACTTGGTAACCTACACTCAGTAAGTAGGGCTTCTGGTCTTTTACTATCGTATATAATCATAAAAAGTATTCATTTAGAGATTCTAATAACAGTACTTTTTTAAAAATGTCATTTTTGTTTATCACTTGGTTGTATCTAAAATACATCTAGAGAATTATATATTTAAAGTGCATCCCAATTAATAATATCTAACATCTGGTTTTTACAAATATTTTCTGTCTTAGAATATGTGAAGGAGAACAGTTGTGAATAAGTTAAATGTCGACAACAACTCGAACAAATATGACTGTCTTATTAATGAATATTGTGGAAAATAATGCATAACCAGGTGCCTAACATGTCAGAATTTAAAGAGATTTATTCCGGTTTAAAAAAAATTGTAATGAAATTGAACGGTTGTGTCTCAAATCTGAAATTACCTGGTAAAAAATGATGCAGCAGTTGAAATCTGTGTTACCGACGGTTGTCGGACTGGATTCTCATCTTTACTTAATTGATTTCCATCCTTTTTTTGTTGTTGTTCACTGCTTTCATCTTTTTCACTTTCATTGGTCACAGCAGCACCAGTATCCAGTCTTTGACGTGGATTAACAGTGGATGGATATATCTCACCCCCTTTATTGACTGACTGATCTTCAGAACGTGATTGCATCTAGAATAGTTACAAGGAAAGCAATAAATCTATAAATTAAATTCAATTAAATTCATATACTTTGTTTTCATTAGATTGAATAAAAAGGTGATTAAATAAAAATTTGAATTCTTAGCTCTTAATAGCATTCAGATTATATATTCGTTTCAAATTTTGTTTTCTAGATTCTTTAATACTCACAAACACACACACACACAATTTATTTCATTTATTTTGACATGTGATTCATTGATGAGCAGTGAGTGAATCAACACTGAATGAATATTTTACTCAGAATTTTTGAAATGTGAATTCATTTATCTTCATTATCATATTTTCTTAAATTAATTCCCTTAAAATATATAACTTCAAGGTTCATTGGCTTTATTTCACAGTGTGTTGTGTTGTGTTTTATGTTGTATTTCGATTTTGTCGTCATCATTTCCCTCCTTATCTACTTCATCTTCGTCTTCTGTCACCTTATCGACAAAAAAGATAAATACTTTTAGCGATAGATGACATTATTCACAGTTGTGAAATGAGTTATTTCTTTTTTTTTGTGATTCTCATTTGCAATAAATCACAAATGGTTTGTCGCAGCAGTTTTTCTTCTGTTTTTTTCCCTCCCGTTTTTACTGTTGAAAACTTTATATTTATGTGCGAAAAAAAAGAGTGTGTTACTCCTTTCTTTAGTCGGGAAATTTGGTTAATCAGTGTGTTATGTAGACGTAAATGACAAGTAAATTGTCATGATGAATTGTTTACTGAATAAATACTGAAACTGCCATGTTTCATTATCACTAGTATACATAAATTTATTCTAGGATAGCTATGGACTGTTACTTTTTCTTTATGCCTTGTGTAACACTGTGCAATAATGTTGTTAGATGATTAGAGGTGATCAGTGAGGAGCGCTTCTTGGCACTCGTCAGTCAGCCAGAAGTATCTGCAGTCTCGAAGGAACTCCCATCCTCACTGAGATTCAAATCCGAGTCAACCAGAGCTACAGTCAGAGACGACACTAGTGCGCTATTCTGGCTCGTGACCGACCTCCTCCTGAATGAATGTACTATGTACGATGGATGGACACTAGGTAGCAACTAATTTATTGCGTCTAGTCCTTGGCGCTGGCACAGACTGAATTCTACCAGTCAAGTGGAACATGAAATAAATAGCACAGAAATATGATATAAGTAGTGCTGAAACAAAAAGCATGCCTACCTTCGGTGAAAATGAATATACTAGGAAGTAGATAATTCAGTTAACTATAATAATAATAAGAAATGTGAAATACGTATACGTATACTAAAATACATACTAAGTAATGAGCGTTAAAAGCAGTTGAAAAACAAATTTATATTTACCATCTAATCTAGTCATGTAATAAAAGTGAAAATATAATTTGCTTGACAAAATTTAAGGCTGATTAGATAGATTAACAAAGCTTTGGTTTGTTTTTAGGTTATATAAATTTTGTCTTAATTTATGAGGTCCATTAATACAACCGAAAGCTAATATTTTAATACCAAGGGACTCAAATAAAATCAAATTAAACAACTGAATTACATACCTACCAACTGTACACTAAAATCCCTACTGCCATAAATATATGTCTGTTTACCCTATCACCAATATGGAAAATCTCAGACTTCATACTCTTCCAACCTTTTAATTCCTTAATTTGGAAATTTCGAAGGTATTATAAGTTCATATACACGAATTCATTATTTAATTCATATAGATACATAACTACAGAAGATAAAAAGGAATATTCTATACGAAATGTGATTCGCATTTATTAAGGCGTTTTATGAGGCAAGAATGAGGAAAATTTCTACTTACTGATAGCATCAATCCCTTTTATTTAAAATGTGTACCCATTCATAAATTTCGGTCATTGTGAAATGTGGCTTATTCTAACAGTTATTTTTTATCAAGTTTCTTTTCAAATTTCATCATTACATGACTTCAGTTAGAGAACCATTGAAAACCATGTGTGTCCAGAACAGCTGTTCAGTCCTTGCTCACGACTCTTCAACAAAAAGCACTCATGACTCCAGGAAGGATCGGATTCATGACCTCCAGGGTTCTAAGCGGACTCGCTGACCATTCAGACACTGGAACGGAACCCAGTGACCTATCAATTCTAACTCCTTCCAACTCGCAATATACAGTGCGACCACTAGTCAGTGTCATTGAGCAGTACTTGATTTTTGTTGTTTCATTGAAGATATCCCATCACCAATTCAGGTGACATATTAGGCCTTACCTTTCAGGAAACAAATGCTACTGAGATGAATTCACTCAACAGTTGTTTGTTCACCATTAAATGCTTGGGCTTGAAGAATATCAAAGAGTTGTGGTCCTCATTCTAAGTGAAGAATTGTACTGATTTATTTTTCTGCAAACCAATGTTATTAGCGAGTATTAGTCCCCACATTCAACTTGGTGGACCTTGCTGGTCACGAATTCCTACTAGAACTTCAGGTAACTTGATCTTGCAATGAGTCATTAGCCTGCATTTGATTAATTTTCAATTGTTGGTTTGCATGCATTTGATTACATTACTGTGATTTACATTCAGATTAAAGGTTTCAGTATAAAACTTGATTAAGAATCTAGAATATTTCCGTTAAATTTAATCAATGAACTTTTATACTTCAATATAGTTATTTATCTTCGAATGCCTTTGAAAGCTTGAGTGTTTCTTGTCTTAATGGTTTTACTAATAACTATAAAACTATATGCAAAAGTAGTAATTGAGATGCTTCACTTAGAATGAGGACCACAAATCTTCGATATTCTCCACGCTTAAGCATTTGATGGTGAACAAATCATCTTAGCAGCATTTATAAAACACAAAATAATCGAGCAAAGAATATTCTTTTCGATAAATTCCTCTTCCAGGCTCTACAATTATATATATGTTCATATACACAGAATATTTTAAATTAGTAGTTAATAACCATATTAGTGTTTTTTAAATAATATCGATTTGTAAAGTATGGTCAATGCTATTGCAGTTCATTAAACATGCTTAAATTATAATAATAATGAAGGTATAACAGCGAATAGAATATCAACTAAAATTAGAATTTCACAAAATTCTGGATTATTCAACCTGGATGGTCGATAATGATAATGACTGAATGACTTCTTTTGGTGCATAAATTAGGCTTATTAATATGAATCCCCACAGCCTCAGCAATATTTAGAAGTCGAACTCTTAAAGCGACCACTCCTCTTCTGCGTTCGGGAATAAAAGACAAACTGCCTAATTTCGCCACTTCCATGTGTGTATACCAATTTAACTGCTCTTGTGGAGCCAGTTACATAGGCCGTAGAATTAGGCGTGTTTCTCGTCGAATTTCCGAACATCACCCTGCTTGGTTAAACAAAGGTCAAACAAAATCTATTCGCAGCGCTATTCTGGCTCATCTTGTGGAGACAGAACACAAGATTGACGATAATCATGCTTTCAGGGTCATTTACCGCATACCTACGAATCTCAATTTCGCTTTAAGAGTTCGACTTCTAAATATTGCTGAGGCTGTGGGGATTCATATTAATAAGCCTAATTTATGCACCAAAAAGAAGTCAATTCAGTCATTATCATTACCTCGACCATCCAGGTTTGAATAATCCAGAATTTTTGTGAAATTTCCCTAATTTTAGTTGATATTCTATTCGCTGTTATACCTTCATTATTATTATAATTTAAGCATGTTTAATGAACTGCAATAGCATTGACCATACTTTACAAATCGATATTATTTAAAAAAACACTAATATGGTTATTAACTACTAATTTAAAATATTCTGTGTATATGAACATATATATAATTGTAGAGCCTGGAAGAGGAATTTATCGAAAAGAATATTCTTTGCTCGATTATTTTGTGCTTTATAGATGTCTGAATGAATATTTTTGCAATATTAGTAGCATTCGTTTCCTGAAAGATAAGGCCTAATATGTCACCTGAATTGGTGATGGGATATCTTCAATGAAACAGTAAAAATCAAGTACTGCTCAATGACACTGACTAGTGGTCGCACTGCATATTGCGAGTTGGAAGGAGTTATAACTGATAGGTCACTGGGTTCTGTTCCAGTGTCTGAACGCTCAGCGAGTCCGCTTAGTAACCTGAATGTCATGAGTCCGATCCTTCTTGGAGTCATGAGTGCTTTTTGTTGAAGAGTCGTGAACAAGGACTGAACAGCTGTTCTGGACACACATTGGTTTTCAATGGTTCTCCAACTGAAGTTAGTTCATGATCAATCATGATCAATGATTCAATCTCTGATAACCAATACTTGAAAGGTAATTAAAGTAATTGTTTATCAATTTAACTAGTAACTGCAAAACTTTTTATTTCTCCTTTCAACAAATGATAATGACTACAGATCAAAAAAATAAGTAGAGTAGTTGAGAGAAATGAAAAGAACTAAAAGAAAGGATCAACACTTTCAATACATAACTTAAAATATCTGTGTTTGATATTTTGTTTCAAACAATGACATCTTAGATAATCTAATTACAGATGATATGATTATCTTTCATTTGGTATTATTGTTATCTCTACTATTGTCTTTGATATAAATAAATAACTCGTTGATATATTCATATATATATATATATATCTTCGTTCCATTTATTAATTCTGACTTTCACTTAATCTCTTCTCAGGATAAAAGTAGAGCAAACAGAAATGAATGAATGAAAGTCGAATTTCACTAACTGATCTGCAGTGGAAAATAATTATTACTGGATAAGTTATGCAGAAGATGAAGTGAATAAAAAACGAACTAAAGAATTACAAAAACGGAGAGAAGAATTTGTCTTGTACGTGACATAGTTTTTCATTGAAAAGCAGGCTAATTCAAGGACACGATTTAAGCTTAGCTGTTGATGACAAAGTGTATACTGCAGAGATGAAGTATTAATTAGCTTTTGTTAAATGAATGAATTATTGTAAAAGTGATCGAAAACTTAGACTTTATATACTTCTTGATGAAATGAA